GGGGGGGATAACACAGGGAGAATATGCAAATCAAGGGAAACATTAGGCATTTAAAATCCCGTATTTACAATGAATAGATTAACGGGATAGAAGGTGGGCAGAGTTGCTAATGTGTTCCGTTTCTAATTTCTGTCCCGGTCTGAGAGACTTACACGATTGCTGTACAGGGCCAGTTCAGAGTCCTGCATCGGTCCTGTTTTGTAAAGCTGCTCCCGCCAATAGCCAGTGATCCGCATCCGACCCATTATCTGTCAGCAGCACTAGTTTAATTCTGTACCCTCCCCAACCCACCTCAAATGGTTCCCAGAGACCCGAACTGCACCCGAATCACACCCCCATGTGATTCCAAGCAGGGTACTGGGAGAGCGCGTGCAGGACTGGCCTACATCATTCAAAAAAGTGTTTATCATCAGTTTGAAATACAGGCCTTTGCCTGTGTATATAAAAATTGGGCATTTTTTTGGATGCTTTCAAAATAAGCCTTTCCATTTAGAACCACTTTCCACATGTAGCCTATCGATTCCTAACAGCACCTGTACCTGCAAATTGTGTAGCTGGATATTTTTCACCCGTTACATTAAAACTTGAGGGTCACCCAACGGGTATCTGAACCCGTACAAGACTCTGGTTTGCTTCAATATATCCAATATGATTTGTGCAAAAGTTAATCTCTGTAAGTGGCACCTTTGCCCTGATGGGGGGCGGTTTCACTTTCTGGAGGTCAGTTTAATATCACTATGGAATGTTGGTGCTTTGTGTGTGATGAATCAGTGATTTTGTCGAGTTGCTAATCAATGGCAGCCCCCAGTCTAGTTTATTCACGTGATTTAAAAAAAAAAATCGTTATTGCTGCCACGTGTAAAACAAGATTTTGGAAAACCTCGCATAATGGCATAATGCGGAGTCGCATGGCGGTAGGCTGTCGCGTGCCCCCGGCAGCACCGGGGATGTGTCACGCCGGAGGAGAAGGTTCTTGGTGGCTTTCCAACGGCGGAAGCAGGCCTGGCACGTTGTCAGGCGTGTTCTGTTCGCACACCGTGTAACAGGACCCAACTCGAGGGCATACCCAACACAAAACGCGGCAAGTGCATTTAGCGAGTGTCCTCAGCGTAACTCAACAGCATACCGTGTGTGCGGGCTGTAAGACGCTCTCACCTCAAATATTCCCTCCGGCTTATAGCTGCTGTAGGATTTTGGGGTGGGGGGGGGGAACAGTGAATATAGAAGCAGTTTTTTAACCAGTGCTGAGTCTGGTCGAATTCTGAAAGGTTTAAGATAAGGATTAAAACGTTCTTTCCGCTGTTACTTTCTCACCGCCGCCACCCGTGCTCGTGTGGGAGTTCCGCAGGCTGCTTTGGCACGTCGGAGCACACAAATTTAAGTACATAAAATTGCATTTCATTCACCATTAACAATGAGAGATTGGAGCTGGGGGGGGGGGTCACAGCCCAGCTCACAATGGGGAGTAATAAAAATCTCTGGTTAGCTTGGCTTGCTAGCTGCTTCACGCTGGTTCACGCGGCCGGATAAATGCGTCGTCCGTTCATCTCGGAAAAAGGTCCACGGTGCCTTTCTGTCGCTTTGCAGGCTTTCTTCCGCATTGTGGGATTGCACACTGAAGGGCCCTAATGAAAATCCCCGGAGATCCATGGCTCTGTGCTGTTTGAGGGAAAAAAGGCTGATTTAAAGGCTGAACGGGTGCAGCCATCTGCTGTACATCATGTCCGTAACCTGGACGGCCGATCTGCACACTGCGCTCCTCTCAGGAAGTGCGGCTAATCTGATGAAATCCATCCATCCATCTTCCTACCTCTTATCCAGTACAGGATTGTGGAGAGCCTGCAGCATATTCCAGGCAGCACAAGACACCAGGTTAGGTACGTGTTGGATGCGATACCAGTCCATCACAGGGCACACCAACCTCAAACACTTTGGACAATTTAGATATTATAATTAGCTTAACCGCATGGGTGAATCTCAATACCAAGAATACAGACTGAACTTGTGATTTTGGAAAGATCGATCTTGCTAACTTGCCTCCCAAGAATGAACTTGGGGTGCAATGAATCATGAGATTGATCTCATTCGGCAAGGATGCAGCCGATTTATCCTTGATATTTGGGGCGGAGGAAGGCCAACATCCAAGGCTTTCCACCGTCGTCTGTACTTTTGTTCTTTAGTATTGGACCTGGTCTTCGGCGATGGAAGCTGACGTAAAATGGGTACACGAGAACACAAGTACGGTCAAGTGTGCATATTTATATTCACCCCATTCTTTGGATTGGGGGAGACAACCACCCCGAGCAATCCCATGATCCCATGCAACACAGGGAGAATATGCAAACGCCACCCAGAGAGCAGAGTCAGGATTCGAACAAGAAATGTGAGGAAACAGTACTTCCCACCTCGTCAGGCTGCCCGTAATCTAGTTAAATGCATCCTCTAAATGAGGCCTGCAAGGTTTTATGGGTTTTTGTTGTGATTTTGCAACCTTTGACCTCGCTTTGGTAATTTAATTTCCTTCATATTTAATCACTTTGGGACTTAATCACCAAGCTTAATGTAAATTACTCCTTACAGAAATACTGAGGCATGGCACAGCTGAAATATTTATGGACAGTTGGTGATTTGTGCTCATTCCCAAAAGCTTAGAATCCACTAAAGTCCCTTTCTTCCCATGTTATTGATGATGTTTAAACATGTACGTACATAACCTCTGAAGTGCTGTCGTTTTAGTTCTGATTTCCCTGCCCCCCCTGATTTAGTTATTCTGCTGTTGTGGTTACCATAATCACTATCAATATGGGAAGGCAATCTAATCCGAAATAGCCTATAACACAAATCTTATTTTCTCGACTCACTATGTTTGCTTGTTTATGGTTTTATTGTTGAATGATATAGCCAGTCATTTCAAGACAATTGTTTTTTGTCAAATTTGATGAAAACTGTTTGCCTCCCATATTGCAATTGACTTTTTGTGCAGTGTTCTGGGATATCCAGGTGTTTCTTCTTTATTTAATTCCACACCAGAAAAAAAGCCATTACGTAGATTTTTTTTTTTACCTAGAATAAAGGCAACCATAACTAGACAAGCAATTACTGAAAACAGATGGATGGTGTGACACCACCTTGCTAATTAGGGCCAAATTTGTTTGGCTGCCAATGTTCTGCTATGTTGTTCGGTGACACTGAAATGTAAAAGTATATTCGGAATGGAACATTGTTTTTGTTTGATACTAAACTGCTAAATTTTATGTATGGATATTCTGAGCAAGAGTAAATCTTCTGAAACAGGTTGCAAATGTGCAGCTGTAGAACATAAGATGTTGTTCCAATTCCAGGATACAATGTAGTTTAGAATCTTACATAAGTGGTGTTTTTTTGTATTAAGCTTGAATGTGTCTGTTCACACGGTATATACGTTTCTTTGGGTATAAGCATCTGTGAAGCAATAAAGTATAACAATCAATCATTTAGTACAATACAAGTAATCAAGCAAGAGACACTTGAAGAGGTTTTGTAATTCTTAGTAGATTCTTTTGTCCATGACGCTGGAAAGAGTTGAATCACTTTAAGCTTCACTGTAGCTGAATTCAGGCATTTTGGTTGCAATTCCAGCTCAATGCCTCATAATTAGTTGTCTAAGATTTGGAAGAACTCCAGCAAAAAATAAAAAATAATGTACCTCTATGTTGAGAGAGTGTCAGTCCCTCCGGAGCCCTGAAAGGGGTGCCCCGGGTCACGGGTCCCCACCCTTGCGGCAATCTCACTCTCCTCTCCCTCTTTTCTCCCCCCTCGCAGAGATGTCAGGCCTGGGCCCTGAGCTCTCACAGGTGCACTGGAAGCAGCAGTGGCTGGAGAATGGAACGCTCTACTTCCATGTGTCCATGAGCAGCACCGAGCAGCTCCACCAGGCCACGGAGGCTCCGGCACGCGAGCCAGCCCACGTCCCGCACGAGCGCATGCACCTGCTGCACGTGTCCGTCATGGTGAGCGAGCTCCTCCCCTCTCGTTAAGCGATTACGTCAGATTGTGTGTGGAAAAGCCAAAAACAGGTCTGGGGGCACACAAATGCAGGAGACAATTTCCTCTTTGAGATAAACCCAGTCAATATGGAAATCAGTCAATAGTCTTCAACCTCCTTGTGCACGTTCAAGCCCCACAGATGAACTGCTTCCCTTCTTCATATCGAAATCAGATCAATAATAAATAGCCAATAATGTCACATCAGAGTGTAATGAAGCGATGATCAGAAAATGGAGTTTCACTCTAGACATAATGCAACCTCTTTGCCCCCGAATTTGATACTGTCCATTTTAAACATTTAAAATGTGTTTATTTATTCTACCTATAACAGTTATTGAGCTTGGAAATGTCTTTAATTTGAGCAAAAGCCACAACAGTTTACATAATCATAACCATTTACGTGCTTTATTTGAGCTAGCAGTTACAGTTAAATGCGGCCTTTGACATAATATCTTTTATGATGACAGAATGCCTTTGAAGGCTTTGCCTGGTGTAGGGTTTAGGCAATACAAGAGTGCTATAGAAAGTTACGAATCACGACTGCTTTTTCATCCATCGTGACTCCTGCTGGCCCAATCCTGGAGTGCAGTGAGTGTAGCTCAGGTCACACAGGACATGAGGCAGGGAAGCCCAGGACTGGGTGCCCGTAAAGATGCAGGATATATCGGGTAACATGTCCGTATCGACATCTGTCAGCTTTGTCACTCTTGTTCGCTATTCAAAGTTAGCAGCACCAGAGCTAAAAACATAAGTATTACAATAAGGGAGAAGACTGTGCTGGAAGATCATCCATTTTCCATAGTGGAGGACTAGAGCTTTCGTCAGCTCGTTCATCACATAGAACATTGCTAGTCTCCCAGATCAGCGTTACTTCGCTGATGTCTGTCTGCGATATATGATGATGTTGCTAGACACATTCAGAGGATATTAAGTAGTAACGTCAATGACATCAGGAGGAGGTGGAACCAAGACATCTGATTGGTTGGTCCCTCCTCTTCTAGTTGCTTGGACCCACCTCCTGTACCGTCTGATTAGTTATCTCTCTGAACCAATCATTTTTCGTTCTGCCCTCAGAACATTTTTGTGTAAGTAAAACTCCCATGACCATCAGATTTGTGGAGCTCAGAGCCACACACACAACCTAGGGGCAGGATTGGAAACCCCCAGCCCTGGAGATGTGGGGCCACAGCGTCACCCACTGAGCTGCCCCCATTAGGTCTCAACTGCTGCCTCATGCATAGTCTGGCTTGCGAGGCTGACGCGTGAATGTGTGAACGAGGATGTAGTTCCATCAGCAATGAAACTGTGGAGGTGGTGTGTGTGTGTCGGGTGAGGGGGTGCTGGGGGTGTAGGGATGAATCTTTCAGATCAGTGATACAAGGTGTATCTGTCTTGTTATGTGGCCTGAGGCAGTGCCTGGCTTCTTGAGTGAACATTGTTAAATGTAATTCTGTCAGTGCAGTGACAGATTCCACCCGGGTCTCTCTATTTCGCGACTATCCCCACCCCACCCCCCCCATTTACTATCTAGCACTTCTTCCTCAACTTTATTAAGATCCATAAACGGATGACGCCATCAGTGCAAGGAATTCTGCATGCGCGCTAATTGTTTTATTCTAATGAGCTTTGACAGTCCCGCCCCCCCATAAATTACAGACCGCGACTGAAATTATATTGCAGGAAATTTAATTGACAGAAGTACAAGATTAGATTTTTCAGCACAAAAATAGTAGCGGATTTGAAGCACGTGGTATAAGCAGTGGGAAGGCCGTGGTGCATTGTCTCGCGATCAATAGCAGTAGAATGTTCCGCTGAGGTTACGCATTTGGTGCGTGCCCCAGACCCTGCAGATTACTCACTCCCTATTGTTTTTCATAGTTGATTATCAGGAAACTGCTTGTTAACTGGCAAACAGGACCACAGTGCTCAGAAATAAAAATGACAGATAAATTGTGGCATTCGAGGGGCCACCGGGTTACTGTGAGATGATCGCCTGTTAGTGTCTGACAGCATAAAGGAGATTTCCTGCGACTCTGGTCAGACTGCCATGTGTGCTCCGACAGCTCGACTTCAGACTGAATTGTAGTGTCCGTTACCAGGCTTAATGGCATCAATATGTTGCTAAGGAAGTGGCTACATTGAGTCACCAGGTTTACAGGGACAATGATGTCAGAGAGAGAAAATGAAATTACATACAGGTATCATTATGACTTCATAAAAGTCAGCTTGATGGCATTTGCGGTTTCCTGACTGGATCAAAATATTGCATGCATGCCGGCTATCCCCTGAGGTGTACATGCGTATATTGTAGTCACGAAGCACCTGGAAAAAGTAAATATCCAGTCATCCATCCAATAATCACTATTACTGTTTGTTCAAGAAGGATCATGGTGAATCAAGAGCCTGTCCCTGTTTTGGGGGGGTGGCGTGTGGCTCGGCAGGTAAGGGTGTTGTGCCTCTGTTCAGAAGGTCGTCGGTTTAAGTCCTTGAGTCAGCAGAGTGATTTCACCATCAGACCCCAACCAAGGCCCTTAACTCCTGATGCTCCAGGGCCTGTTTGCCTCTGCTTTCTCAAACGTGTCTGCTAGTTCTAAATAAATAAATGCTAAATATGACAAAAGTAACCGAGATGGTGCAGTAAAGCCATAACAAGACAAGAGAAGACGTGGTCCCCACAATCTAATAACATTCTGACATTGTGGGGACAATTTCTCAGATCCCCACAAAGATCTGCGAATGCAATCAAGAAAGTTAAAATGCCTGAAGTCTCATATTTTGTTTGGTTACTTATGGTTAAGGTTAGGGCTGGGTAGGGGTTAAGATCCTCATGTTGGGATTAGAGTTTCCCCGTAGAAATGAGTAGAGAGTCCCCACAAAGATATAATTACAAACCTGTGTGTGTGTGTGCATGTGTGTGTGTGTGTGTGTGTGTAAACCCAAGGCAGTGGACACCATGCAATGCCAATCCATCACAGGTCACAAACTGGCACAGTGTGGGCAGTTTAGCGTTGCCAGTTAGTCTAAGTAAGCATATGGTCAGGACATAAGAAAACCTTACAACACCTGCAAGCTTAATTTTCCAAACATTTCAGATAGAAATCTAAATGTCATCTGCCTCTCAGAACTCAGAAGGACGTCACACTCGCTACACTAAAGCGCTTAAACAGTGTAGAGAAGGGGGAGCGTTCTCCACATACTGAACCGCTTGAATATTTGGCCGGTAAAACGCAGCGCAGGGTGCATTTGGAGCTGCGATACACAGTAATGCGTTATAAAAATGACAAAGGTGAGGGGAGCCCCCGACACTTTCAGCAGTAAGAAGACAATTTCCATAAATTAGCGGCACCTTTGTTTGCTGCATCGCCTCAACATGATTTTTTGCCACAGAGTCAGAGCAGCGGCGAGACACTGTAAAGGAACATCTCCGCTTGTCTTGTTATGGTTTCACTGCGGCGTCTGGATCATCGGTGACTGATTGGTGCCATCGTTAAGCTCATCAGCTCACAAGAATGCCTGGCATCAATGTCAGGAATATTTTTTAATGTTTTGAGGGGTCTTAAGGAACGCCAGTGGATTCAAAAGTTTGTGCCCCTGTAGCATAACAAGTAGAGAATTCCTCTAACAAAGCCGGGGTTTGGATCCCACAAAGCACGTATAAATTGTAACCATGAACTGCAAGTTGCTTTGGATGTAAACATCAGGGAAATGTTTAACTCTATTTTGTATAAATTATGCAATGATGGATTCTCTTATTGAGTGCCTTGGGGTAAGTGTTGAGAAAGACGCTATATAAAAATAAATTAACTCAAAATTGAAATCCTGCATTTCCTGCACTGGTGTGTTTCCTGGACCCCCTCCCTCACTCATTTCATGGTTCCCCGAGCATCAGCGGGTTCCCTCTCCATATGGTCCAAGACTGTGATGCACACCGCAAGAAACATGACCCTTAAGAACAACGGCCGCATTCGCATTTTCAATACGTCATTTTATGCATCGTTCTTCTGTTACTCAGCAGCATGCTAATAATTTGATATCCACAGGTCACATAGAGCTAAAAGGCTAATAGTTGTACTAATTATTTATAATTGTCATTTTTTAGATAATCAGTTTTGTCATCCATATCATATGCAAATAAACATGTTTACGGTGTTCAGAGTGGACAAATGGGGGTAGGATCGGAATGTTTTTCCATCAGATTTTGTGATTTATAAAAGTTGTTTCATTGACATGTCGCATTATAGATCCCAGCCTGCAATGCTGTAGACCTTGATTCGCTAATCTCCTCGCACTCCCGTTTAGTGAAACAGGTCAGATGTATTTGGCTGCATGGTACAGCGTGAGTGCCTCGAGTGCTTGTTTCCATTTGCATAATTATTTACGGCGGATTTGTCTCCGGAATACGTAATACTCCGTTCATTTCAGACACTTGGCTCCCCACACCCCCTAGCCAATTCCGTTCTCCAATCAAGTTGGCTGACGGCGGTTACCACCTTCATTTCCCTCCCCGGAATCTAAATTCCCCACAATCGCCTCGACGTACGCAACAAGCGCAACGTCTGATGCGGCTAAATGAGACACTGGGTAGCGATAGCAACTACAGCCAATATCTGTTACTTATTCCGTAGATCTTCGCTGATGTTCAGGTTCTGGTTCTTTTTTTGATATCCACAGAATTTTATATTTCTGCCAGTTTGTGATAACTTCCTTTTCTTCTGTGCGCTATCGAGTTAACTGCTTACCACTTTATTATTCCTCTGCGTAAAAAAAAAAGAGAGTAATAATTTAAGGTACTGTTGGGCCTCATTACCCTCTGAGATTTACAGACTATTCATTGAAATCATGCTTGTATTCATTATTAACCTTTAATTATAGTGAAAGTTTGGAGGGGGTGGGATTTTGCTGTGGGGGCGCTCTCTTTTTCCCCGCTGAAATAGCTCCTGTGTGGATTTGAAAAGCTCGGCGC